CTGCTTGCCTGTCCATGGAAAAAGCATCAGTCACCCACACTTTGTTAAAAATAATGAGACTAACCTTATCCAGAAGTATCTAACTGTTAAAACAGACTACTAATTTCCACAAGAATCTGTATTATTTCCTATATTACTTCAACAACAACATCTTAACTGTCTCCAACCAGTGGGCGTTCTTGGCGTGCTTTGAACACCAAAGTTTTCTGTCTGTTTAGAGCTTTCTTCATAGAATCTTGATCCCTCTTCACTTCTGACATGCCTTCGTAGAGGTTTTTCTCTAACTCGCTGATCTGTTTGTTCATTGCTCTTGTTTCTTCATCCTTTTGTTTGTCAGGAAAAGCATCACTGACTGGTCGCTGCTTAAGGTTCATTGCCTTACCTCTGGTGCGTGATAACTCCATGTTCAGCTCATTCAAGTTGGCTGTGGAGTCTTGAAGCTGCAATTAATGGGAAATTCTGTTAATGGTACAAACATGAAAAATTATACACACTAAAAACTTGAAAGGAAAGAAAATACCGGTAATGCTGAATTTAATCAGGGAAGACAAATTTGTAAAGTAATAAAAGCCCACACATGATAGCTGACAATGGCTCCACTAAGGAAGAGCATTAATAATGTACATGTACCTACCATGTAAAATAGTAGTTTTTTTTAACAAGAAGTCAAGTTTGGTATGTTGTCAATGATTTAGTGACATGCCCAGCTCCGCACCAGCTAAAAACTAGCCTAGAATCTTCAAACACTTTGTGTTCTTTTTTCACACTATTTTAATCTGAATTTTTTTCGTTTTGTGATTTTGCATGTATTATTTACGTAAGACTTTGATATAACAAAGGACCAATTATGTGGCAATTAATTTTCTGCATGTTCATGAACATTATGACCACTACGTGTAGTCAAGGACTCTTTGTTGAACACAAGATATTCCGTGACCGGTGGATGAAGGTTTCAATACTATATATATTGCAGTACTTTCCACAAACACCCTACCCTCCCTAATTTCTTAATGAAGCATAAAGGTAGACTAAAATTAATACAATACACAGATCATAACTTAGTTTGGGACAAATTATAAGGAGCAGCATTGAAGCTAATGATTTCATTATTCCCAATTATTAAAAAAAAATTAAATGTAATGAATAGATTAATAAAATATTAATTATTCACTATTGTTTTAAGTAAAATAATAAAGAGATAACTACCAGCTGCTATATATTCCAGAAATCTATCTGCCAAACTAACATTTAGGTACATTCACGTTCAGAGGGTCATATATACCAAATATCCATTCATTGATTAGTAATGCAGAAATTAATTTGTCTAAATACTCCTCATTGGGAAGACGTTGTCATGATATCAACAAACAAAAGAAAAAAGCCACTGGGCTGCGGGGTTGTCATAAACTTTGACCTCTGTTCTATTTTGCATGCACGACAATCTGCCATACTATAGGGTTAATTCTCCAAAAAAAACAACAACAACAACAAAAATCTGCAGAAATAAAGTTCCTACCTTTGAAAGTGCATTTGTAACTGCATGATCTTGGGTTTTCAGTTTCTGAGGTAACTCTGCATAACCGTGCTTCTCCTGAAGCTCTCGCAGCAACTCAGCTAACTCCCTTTCACGAAGTTCTTGTAAATAAGTCTTATGTATGATCCAAGCAGCATCGATATACAGTTTCAGATCCCGCTTTCCCCAATCGTTGTAGGCCCGATCGCTGCAAAGCTCCTCAGCTGTATCGTTCCAGAATCGCCAGTATTCTTTAGTCATTTCGGCGTCCTGGGATTCGATCTCTCTGTCACTGAAGATTCGAATTCCTCGCGACCGCGCGAAAGGATATTTATCTTGGCTATTCGTTGCTGCCTTTTCTGCTTTTTTAGGAGAACTTTTCCTCGACTTCTTCTTGGGTGGTTCGTGATCTTCACCAGCTTTCTCCTGTTCTTCACTAGCGCCATCTGCATTCGCAGAAGTTCCCTCCTCGTTTCTATCGCATGGTTGTTCAGATTGAACTGGTGATTCGTCCGTTGGGGGCAGAGTTTCTTCTATCACGTTATCGCTCATCTTTTACAATGGTTAACGGGTTCTTAGGTGATTATTTCACTGCAGAAAGCGATAGTCTGCAGATGCAAGAGGAGAAAAAAAGCGATCAACACTACGAGGTGTGCGTCGCCACTGTAACCACCCCTCCCCAACAAAGCGTCCAGTCAAATTAGTTACCATACCCTAGGCGCCTTTTTGATAGGCTCGCAATGTGTCCAAAGAGTCGTCTTTGTGGTGCTGCTTCTACGGGATTGTGAAACATAAAAATTGCTTTTTCTTTTTTACATATTTTGGCTACAACGTAGAGCGTAAACAGTATCGTTTCGAGCGCTATTACTTGGACAGTGTGTCCGTCCGTAAAAGAAAACAGGAGATGGGCTATTAAAGTAGATTGTTCTATTATCCATGATTGTCATTTACTATGAGAAAATTGGTATTTCAGCCTACAAAACAAACCTTCAATGGCGTTAAAAAAATAAACGTGATTACAAATGCCACATGAACGTTACATATGCGAGATTCTAAGTAAGCAAGTAAGTAATGTCCAGGTCCATTAATATCACAGTCCAATTTTTCTACGAAAATCCCTCCTTTTTCGCAAGGGACCCCCCTCACCACCCCCACTGAGCTCAGTCTCAACCTGAAAGAACGATGAAATGCCAAGTGAGCGAAACCAATGTAGTGTGGTGTAAGGATAGCAGTACATAATATACCGTAACATTCCGAATAAGCCCCTCCATGCATAAGCCCCTCCAAATATAAGCCCTCCAAACAGGTAATGCAAAAACCCTCGCTTAAATTGCCCCTCCAAATATAAGCCCCCCCTGGCTTGTACTGAGAAAACTGCCCTCAAATACAAAGTAAAACAAAGCAAAAACGGTAAATTGACTTCTGACTATAAGGCTAGCCCAACTGATTTTGAAACGCAAATTTCCCTCCGTGGATAAGCCCCTCAAGGACCTTTGAAAAATATAAGCCCCAGGGCTTATTTTCGGAATTTTACGGTATTACATATCCTCCTTTGCAGTTCCAGACGAACGTATTACTATAACTGGATCAAAAAGTGTTGATACTGGTTATTCCAGGGTTTAATTTAATCAGTTAGGGGCCTGAGAGAAACTTATAATTAGGTGTTTCAATATCCCTTTTTGATACCTTAACAAAAGCAAACTCAATCATAACTCAGTAAATGACAATTTATTGTTGCAAATTTGCTGTAGTTATTTTGTAACATATTTCATTATTGAAAAATACAAGAAATACATTTCCTGCATGGCACAGAAGGAAATGGAATATCTCTTCTCTCCTCCTTTCCTTTTTTGCGATCTGTCAACCTGATTGTAGTCTCCTATGTAGCCTTTTTAAGTGTCGCGAGGAGCATTGTGCGACAGCTCAAAGAACAACTGTGAAGGAGACGACATGATAAATAGGAATGACATACTTTTATGATAGTATGTCTTATGTCCTTAAGGCAAACACATTTTTATTACACTTCAATTACAGTACAAAACCCTAGTTAAAAATACATCATTATTCAAAGATAACAGCACATGCTGATTAGTTGCAAGAACTCTGCATAATTTCAAAACTCTTTTTGCCTAAGTATCAGTC